CACTGATTATGTCTTCTGCTTGAGAGACAGAAACTCCTGTGCCAAACGTTCCCTCTGCACCTGGGGAACATACTCATCTCGAAATAACTTAGTGAACCTCTCCCAAGTTACTGTAGCATGATCTGTAGGGGTAAAATCAGTTGTCACAAACTTCCACCAGTCCTTCGCTCCCAAGCAAAGCTGGTTCAGTGCGAACCGCACTCTCAGATGCTCTGGACATGAACACATATAGAAACACCCCTCAATGTAGGAGATCCATCTCATGGAAGCGATCGGATCCTGCGTCCCATCAAACTATGGTGGCTTCGTGTTGCTGAACTCAAGGAACAACAACGAGTCACCTCCCTGTGGCCTAGTTGCAGTTATGGCCGCGATGGCTGCAGCAGCAGCAGGCTCCGTAACAGCAGCGTATCGCTCATCCAATGTCTCAATCAACGTGGTCTTAATAGACCTGAACATCTCTGGTATGGCCTCTCTGATAGCTACGACCACCTCCTCATGAATGATCCTGCGGATCTCCTCGTCACTGGTACTATAGCCCCCGGGGTTGTTGCGGGTAATCACCATAGTGTCTCTGAAACGCAAAAACAAAATCATCAGATACTAGCTCAATACACACACACACACTCGATTACCCACCCCTACATGCTCCTTATCATCCAACTCGTTGAGTTGCTCTGACATTATGAATGTAAATTAGTTTAATATTATACTTGGGAGTCGGGATGTTACACACTTCCCTAACTAAGCACATACAAGTATCACACAGACAACAAGTATAAATAAACATGCACATAATCATCGCGTACTACCCAACATCGAACCATAGTCTGGAAATATACATATAAACATTCCTCGGGACCTGCCCGACATCGGACCGTAATTCGGAAAGCATACAGACATTCCTCGGGCAGACATCAGATTATAATACGGAAAACATATAAACAAACATCGGGCACCGCCCGGCATCGGACCTTAGTCCGGAATACATACAGTCCTAAATACGGGCCGGCATTGGTGCCTTCGACCCGTTCAAATAGGAGGAAACTCACCTCGAATGCTGAAGCTTACTGCACGAAATCCTTAGCTGTTGTTAGTGAATTCCTCGAGCTATTAATACAAAATATCAACTAATTAGCAATAGGGTCCCAAACAATGATCCACAATCTATACTTGGGGGTAAAATGACCATTTTACCCCTGGCCCAACAAGATTCATAACTAAGGCCCAAATCCACACACAAAGGCCCAATTACTAGTTAGCATACCCAAGCCCACTAGTGGCCCACTAATGGCCTAATTTTCTAAATTGGGCCCAACCCGTCTAATGGGCGTTACCCTAAAGCCCAAACATATTCTTAGCCCAAAATATCTTAATTCTGATGGCCGATAAAGACCCAAAGTTGTGAAGTCCAATGAATAGCCCAAAATTCTGCAGCGCGTACTGGGTTCGTGACTTGCACGTTGCGCGTACCAGCTTGTACACCCAACGTACTCCTCTGTTAAGTTCATTTTGCTATTAAGCACTTAATGCTTCAAACCAAGGGACTAAATCACAGATTTGAGTTCTACTTAACGTCTAAACCCATAAAGTCACTGACTTGGTGACTTTGCATGCCCTACATAAGCCCAAACTCCAAAAATGGCATTCTACTTCCATGAAAGTGACCTTAACTCATGCATGGGGGGATTTCAAACCCAAAAATGGCAACTTTATGATTCTAGAATCCAAATAGCACTGAGAGTGGCAAATCTAAGTTCCAAACACAACATGGTCACAAGGGATTTCATCTATGGGACCAAAAGACTCCATAAACCCAACCTAAAAGAGATCTAAGAGAAAAACCACCAAGTTCCATGCTTTATACCTTATATGAATGCCAAATGTTGATAAGGTTCTAGATCTATAAGCCTTTGCTCCTATGATGATGCTTCAACAATGGCCACCTTCCTTCAAAACACCAAGATGCACTCCAAAATGGTCTTCTAACCTCAAAATACACAAACAAGGGATTAGGGTTTCATAGGAGCTGTCTAAGGGTGAGAAGGAGGCTGATATTTAAGGACATAATGTTCTTTATATAGTGCTCTTCCCTAAAATTAGGGTTTTCAAGATCTGACTGTATGCCCTGCGTACCACCTCGTACGCCCAGTGTACGAGGTCTCGCACCCCGGCCTAACCCTCGCGCCTACGCTGCGCGTATCGATGCTACACCCTGCGTAACCTGTCTCGTATAAGTACGCCCTGCCTACTAGGGTTTTCTCCAAACCCTAATTCTTTCGAAAACCATAACTTTCTCGGTACAACTCAAATTTCGACGATCCTTATATCCACGAATAGGTGGCGAGAAGCCCTACGTTCCTAACAACACACCCAAGCTTTAAAACCTCCTGAACAAAACCCAAAACCCACAAAAGACCGAGATATCAAATTATGATTATACCCTTGGCTTCCGAAGGCACAATCGAATACTTGTACCACTTATACCATGACACCCACATCCGAACTGGGCCAAATCCTTCCTTTAATAAGGCCCTAAACCTTATGACAACTGATGATTGGGCCGCACCCCCGAGTAAAGAAGCACTTTCAAAACCAGGTGTTATAGATATAGTAGCTTCACTCATTCCTCATGGTAATTGGTAACAAGAATTGCGTTCTACTTCCCTTTTAACAATGTGGGTAACTTGATCTCTTTTTGAATTTGAATTATAGAGGATAGTATGAGTAGAGATGACAAAAATCCCCATACCCAACGGGGAACCCGAAACCCACACCCGTTTTGACCGGGGAATCGCCAAGTTGACCGGGGATGTGGACAGGGATGGGGAATCCCTAAATAAAAAAGTGAGGATGGGGATCGAGATACACTAGACCCTGACCTGGACCCGACACCAATATATGTATATTAATATATACAAATAATACAAAACATATATTTATAGTATACTTTATAATATCTTAAAGTTTATCCAAGTAATCAAACTTATTAGTTATTACTTGGTTGAAATTGTACTTTTCATTCTTCTTTTATCTAAATTAACACCATGTATAATTTTTTTCTTCTTGGTTTATCTATTTTACCTCAAATATCACTGTGATATATATATATATATATATATATATATATATATATATATATATATATATATATATATATTTTCTATTTGATTTTTCATTTATGTATTTAAATTTTTTAGAAAATTTGTTTATAGTTTTTATGCAATCTATGAATAATTTTATGTTTTTAAAAATATTTAGACTTGTGTAGGTAAAAATGAAATTTAGATTTTTTTCCTTACGAAAATATTTTCATATTAAAAGAGAAAAAGAAATCATCGATTCCCCGTTGGGATCCCCGGTCCCCATTAAGGATAGGGATGGGGATTCATCTATATTTCCCGGTGGGAATAGGGATGGGGATTGGGGTCCATGTATTCCCCGCCCCCGTTGCCATCTCTAGATATGAGCGACAATCGAGGGATCCTCTAGTTTTGTTTCCTTTCTTTTGGTAAGGGGTATAAGACTCAAGGGAGTAGGGTGCGGTTTGGCCGCATCCTTGCCACCTTGGCAGGGGAACAAACTCCCCTCCCCCCAAATGTGGTTTTGGGTGTGATCTAGCCGCACAACGATACTATATGGCCACAAATTTTGATTGGTCCTCATTTCATGACCATTTGAACGATTAAATATTTCAAAATTATTTTTTTCAATTTTTTATTTTACCTATATATAATACCTACATTTTTTTTACCAAACCTCACTCAATTTCTTAATCGTTCACCATCTTTTTTTTCAAAAACTTTCAAGATGTCTTCTAGAAATTGAACCACAAAGAACTAAAAAAGGAACCCAAAATGTGTGAAATCACAAAAAGTATAATGGATGAAGTTTTATACCGGTGAAAAGTGATGAATGAGCGTTGGAAAACCATCGCCAGTCGAGAGAGTTTTGGGATGATCCTTCATGTACGACCGTGAATGACAAGGGTTTAGGGTACCGAAGACATCCGCACCCTATGTTGTCGTTGGTATAGGGTTAATGAAATCGACATCGTATTCTATTTATTGCAAATAAAAAAATAATTATTTGTGCGGACATGTCACCAGGATACATTTCACACGGATTGCCACATTTTATGCCGACGACTTGTTGTCGTCGGCATAGCTTTTCAAAAAACATTTCTTTTTTCTACACCACATAATATAAATAAATATAAATTATAATTTTTGCAACCTATACCGACGACTTGTCGTCGGCATAGGTTTTGAGAAAACCGCGTAAATACTTTTCGTTCCCACCGAAGCTATGGCGACGCCATGTCGTCGGCATAGATTTTCTGGTCAAACAAATGTTGGTAAACCTTGTACGGACACTGTTGTCAGCGTAGCTGCATTTGTAGCTACGACTTGTGTCGTCGGCATAAGTGTCTATCACATTGGACAATTCTTGTTGTGTATCAGCAAACAATTATGGTTAACATAGTAGCTACTTAAAGACATGTTGGGGAAAAAATATATTCCGTATGGGCGTTGACGGGGTAAAGTGAGCAGCTGCACAGGGCCTAATTAATTTATTATATAATTTTATTTAAAAATCAAAACTTATAATAACGATAAGGACCATTTTTCTTTGATTCGTCTTTGGCCGCCTTTGAGGGTATTTAATTCCTCATGACAAACGTTGCTAACTTCTTAATTTTACCAATGGCTGATGGACCGAATTTGGAACTGTTGATCTTATCTTTTTAAATAATATCTTGCCATTGATATGTTGCCAAACATCCATTTTCTGTGAGGGAATGCGTTGGTCCGTAATTCGTTTAAGCTAAAAATTTGTTTCATTGGAAGAAGCAAAAGATATTAATTAAGTTCACTCGATTAGTTCAGAGAAAAAAGATACAACATATGCACTTATTATTATAAAAATATAGAAGTCGCGGCCATGCAATGCAATGCATGGCATACGATTACTTAAAATTTAAACGTTTACATAGTTGTTTAAATAATAGGAACTAACTCCACTTTGATTTCGTCGATGGTCACATCGTCAAACCATACCTTTGGCACCAAAGTCACCAAAATAAACTCATCATCCTCGGCCTGAATGTCCTCCAAAAGCTCCGTCAACCCAAACCTTGCCCCACTAGTCATTAACATGTCGTCCCTATGGTTATGGGGCAACTGCGCGAAACTACCTGCAAACTCACTATCTTCTGGAGATATTGCGCTGACATCGTCTTGGACATTCACAAGCACATCAAACTTGACGAACGTGTCGCTATTAAACTTGATTCCTTCAATCAACAACAGCTCGTTTGCTTTCTTCTTGTCTTTCTCACTTCGGTTATTGGCTGGCCTCTTCACCACTACCTTCGTTATCGTGTCTAGCTTCAATGGGAACTTCACGTCGGGCACTTGTTTAACCGTTTCAACAGACTTCATGTTAAATGGAACGAGTGGTGGAATGGATCGGGCATTTTCCCAGAGGAGTGGGGAATATTGGTAATCGTATTTTAGCTTTTCCAGACGAACACAGTCTTTGTTGTAGACACGTACAAGCTCTTGGTTTTCATCGTAAAACAAGTATGATGCGTTAAGCCAGTCGGAGTCTGTAGGTTCAAAGTGTCCTTTGATGCCCAAATCCTTCCAAACTTTCCACATACGATCGATATGTGAGTGTAAACCTACTTGGGTGTGAACCTGCCATGAGTAGCTGTACCACCCTCTTTTGTTGACAAATGAATGCCTCCTTTGTTGACAATAAGAACTCAAATGGCAACTTCGTATGTTCACATAATGAACACAATAAATGGTAGCAGTAGTAATTGTAGGCTTGTTTAAGTATAAATAGAGGCTCTAACCTCAGTTGTAAGACACCACAAACAGAGAGTGTAGTGTGTAATACTTAGAGTGAGTATTAGAGGGTTGTTTCTTTTTCTTGTAATATTGAGCGTGTAAGCTCTTCTCTTTTGTTCTAGTTCTGAATAAAAGTGTGTTTCAACCCCAACAAGTGGTATCAGAGCTTGGTTAAGCTCCGGGGGAAGCATTCTCTGTTTTTTGGTTAAAATTTTTTTGTCTCAAAAACAATTTCGGAGTACACCGTTGGAAAGGTCTCGTTCTGAGGATTCCGAAAATATATTTTTTTAAATTTTTTGACCACTGGAAGGCCTCCAAATCACCGGTCAAAGTTGGTCAAATCTGCCCGAACAGTCGCCGGAAAAACCAGGGTTCGCCGGAGAAGACGACACTGTAGCAAGCACTGTAGCAGTGACATCAGCAGTGACGTCAGCAGCTGACCAAAGTTCTGGAAATTGCAGTTTAGCCCCTGTTCTTCCGGAAAGTGCAATTTAGCACCTGTTTTTCAGAAAAATTGCAATTTTGGTCCCGTTTTTCAGAAAAATTTCAATTTAGCCCCTGTTTTACTTCTATAAAAGTTCTATTTGCCCCCTGAACTTCTGAAAAGTTCATATTGGTCCCCGTACTTCAAAAAAAAAATATTCTTACTCGTGTATGCCCAAGTATATGCCAAGAATGACTACACCAACCTCGTCATCTTCTCAAGCCGGAGTTGAAAGTTTTCAAAGGACTGGGAAAGACGGTAGTGTTACGTTACACTATCCAATGCTCACGAAGATGAACTACGCGGTGTGGGCCATAAAAATGCGAGTGAATTTACAAGCACAAGGAGTATGGGATGTAATTAAAAATGCAGAAACGGACGAACGTAAAGATCGGATGGCTCTTGCGGCTATTTATCAAGCAATTCCAGAGGACGTACTTCTGATGTTAGCTGAGAAGGACACAGCTAAAGAAGCATGGGAAACGCTCAAGATGATGCACATGGGAGCCGATCGGGTCAAGGAGGCTAAAGCTCAAACCTTGAGAAGTGACTTCGAGGTGATCCGGATGAAAGACAGTGAATCGGTAGATGATTTTTCCATGAGATTGAATACTATCGTAACCGGTATTCGATCTCTAGGTGAAAAGATTGAAGAAATTACGGTTGTGAAGAAGCTTTTGCGAGCCGTACCGATACGATTTATACAAATCGTAACATCGATCGAGCAATTCGGAGATTTGAAGAATATGACGGTGGAAGAAGTTGTGGGTCGTCTTAAGACCCATGAAGAGAGACTTCGAAGCTATGGAGAAAAAGAAGAAGGACCTTCTCTATTGCTTACACATGCCGAGTGGGCATCTCGTTCGAAGCAAACTGGCGAGAGAAACTCGTCAAACACTTCAAGAGGACGAGGAGGACATGGTAACCGAGGCCGGGGACGAGGCCGAGGTCGTGGACGTGGCCAAGGAGGTGGTCGCGAGTACAATACAAATCGGAATGACCATAATCCTTCTCGAAAGGATAAAAGTAAAATCAAATGCTTTACTTGTGAACAATTTGGTCATTATGCTTCGGAGCGTCCAAACAAGAATCGAGGTGAGGAGGCAAACCTCACTCAAGCCAACGAAGAAGAGTCTATTTTAATGATGGCAACCTCACAAGAATATGCACACAAAAAAGTGTCTCTAAGAGAGAAGATTTGTGTTAATCTTCTTGCATCAGGAGAAAGTCGAGTCGAGTCTGAGGTATGGTATCTCGACAACGGTGCTAGCAATCACATGACTGGAGACCGCTCAAAGTTTCGGGAACTAGATGAGCACGTTACGGGCCATGTGAAATTTGGGGATGGTTCGACCGTCGCTATTTTGGGAAAAGGGTCGATTTTATTCGATAGCAAAAATGGCGACCAAAGACTCCTTAATGAGGTATATTTCATTCCAAGTCTAAAAAAACAATATTATTAGTCTTGGACAAATGACGGAGGAAGGGAGTCAGGTCATAATGGATGGGTCGGATCTGACATTGTTTGACAGAAACAAAACTCTACTTTTGAGAGTTAAACGATCCCCAAACCGGTTATATAAAACTCCTTTAAGGACCGGTAGATGGACTTGTCTTTTAGCAACAAAAGACGAACCAGCTTGGATATGGCATTCTAGACTCGGTCATGTTAACTTTCTCGCCTTAAAGAAGTTGTCCGAAAAGAATATGGCAATCGGAGTCCCAAAGATTGAGCACCCAAACCAAGTATGTGAAGGGTGCGTTCTTTCCAAACAAACCCGAATTCCTTTCCCGGATCATGCAGTTTTTCGAGCTCAAAAACCTCTACAACTTGTTCATGCAGACTTATGTGGTCCGATCACACCTACGTCTGTTGGAGGGAGTAAATATTTTCTCCTTTTAGTAGACGATTTTAGCCGGTGGATGTGGGTTTACATGCTATCGGAGAAGTCTCAAGCCTTGAGCGCTTTCAAACGGTTCAAGTTGATGGTTGAAAAGAATTCGGGTTATAAAATAAAGACACTTCGAACGGACCGAGGGGGAGAGTTCACTTCAAAAGAATTCTCATTATTTTGTGAAGAAAATGGTATTCAAAGGCATCTTACGACACCATATTCACCTCAACAGAACGGAGTTGTAGAAAGGCGAAATCGGACCGTTATGGACATGGCAAGAAGTTTGCTCAAAGGTAGAAATGTTCCGGGAGAGTTTTGGGGAGAAGCGGTTAGACATGCAGTTTATCTTCTCAACCGCCTGCCAACAAAAGTACTTCCCGACAAGACGCCTTATGAAACGTGGTTTGGTAAAAAGCCCAACCTTGAACATCTAAAAGTTTTTGGTTGTGTTGCTTTTGCTAAACTTGTAGGTGGTCACCTGAAGAAGCTTGATGATCGAAGTAAGAAGATGGTGTATTTAGGTGTGGAAGATGGAACTAAAGGCAACCGTTGCTTGATCCGCAAGACCGAAAGTTGCGAGTTAGTCGCGATGTTGTTTTTGACGAAAAAGAAGAATGGAATTGGTACAAAAACAAAGAAGAAGAGATGGCGACTCCTAAGACCTTTAACATAATTGAACCACAACCCCAAATACACCTCGAAACACCTCAAAATGACCCCGAAATCAATCTGGAACAACCAAACAGTCCAGGAATCGATGCTATCCAAGTTGGACAACCATATGCTGAATTTGACGAGCCTGAACCAGCTCCACATACTCCTGTCTCAGCCCCGTTTTCTTCAACATCACCCCATATGGAAAGCCCTTCTAGTGAGATTGGGCCAAGGGGATTACTTTCTTACTACCTTGGAATCGAAGTTTCGCAAAAGAAGTGGGGAATATCTTTGCGACAAACGGCTTATGCAAAGAAAATTTTAGAGCAATTTGGGTTGCTGGATTGCAATCCGACAACGTCACCAATGGAACCTAAGTTGAAGGTCAAGAAGGATGAAGATGGTGAAAAAGTTGATCCAACTGAATATAGGCGAGTGGTAGGTTGTTTAAGGTACTTGACTCACACTCGACCAGACCTGTCATTTTCGGTTGGAATTGCAAGTCGTTTCATGGAGGAACCAACCACTTTGCATTTCCAAGTTGTGAAACACATCTTGCGATACGTAAAAGGAACTGTTGATTATGGAATCAACTATGGAAGAGGTCGTGAAATTGAAGATTTGGTTGGTTTTACCGATAGTGATCTTGGAGGTAACCCTGTTGATAGCAAGAGCACAAGTGGAATGATTTTCTATCTGGGAAGGAATGCGATAACTTGGCAATCCCAAAAGCAAAAGACTGTTGCTTTGTCCACGTGTGAAGCCGAGTTCATGGCAGCTACAACAGCAGCATGTCAAGCCATTTGGCTTGCTAATCTCGTGAAGGAGCTCACGGGACATCATATTATGCCTATCACCTTATATGTCGATAACAAGTCAGCAATCGCATTGATGAAAAATCCTGTGTTTCATGGTCGAAGCAAACACATTGACATTCGTTATCACTTCATACGAGAATGTGTTGAACGTGGGCAAATTATAGTGGAATATGTCAACTCGAAGGATCAACGGGCGGACATCTTTACAAAGGCTTTAGCATACGTGAAACATGGTGAAATGCGAAACATGATCGGAGTAACGAATCTCGAGCCAAGTTAGGTTTAAGGGGGAGAATGTGAGTGTAAACCTACTTGGGTGTGAACCTGCCATGAGTAGCTGTACCACCCTCTTTTGTTGACAAATGAATGCCTCCTTTGTTGACAATAAGAACTCAAATGGCAACTTCGTATGTTCACATAATGAACACAATAAATGGTAGCAGTAGTAATTGTAGGCTTGTTTAAGTATAAATAGAGGCTCTAACCTCAGTTGTAAGACACCACAAACAGAGAGTGTAGTGTGTAATACTTAGAGTGAGTATTAGAGGGTTGTTTCTTTTTCTTGTAATATTGAGCGTGTAAGCTCTTCTCTTTTGTTCTAGTTCTGAATAAAAGTGTGTTTCAACCCCAACACGATATTGGCATGGTGGGTGTAGAACGCAGGGTCATACCCCGCAGAGTAGAAGGTCCCCATGTCCTCCCTCTCCTTCATTCTTGGATTGTTGCTTTGTACTTGGCAATGTATTCGGGGGTGGCTTTATGTGCCGCTGGTCTAACCCGGATTGCTTTGTCTTTAGGGAACACAAAGTCTTTTGGAGTTGTTGACGTCGCCGACGGACAACAATCGGTGCTTCTTACGGGGTTCTGCACAGTTGATGGCAAGCATGTGGAGATGTCAGGCGTCAGGCGTCGTGATAGGGGTGGCAACGGCCGCCAGAAGGGAGCTGAAGTTGA